AACTTGCGCTTATGGGCTCGGCAAATGCAATAAGAACTGATCACTCAAGCGTGAAAGTGGAGAAAGCCCTGGAGGAGTAACTTCACTCCTCCGAGGGCTCGGCTTACCCGGCCCGGTGCGCTCATGCCACCCCACGGAACCTCGAAAAAAAAACCAATTCCTACGGAGGCAGGCATAAACCCGGCCTCGACGAACCCTCGGGAGAGTGCACGCACTCACCCCGAGGCTCGGGGGGCTCTTGTCGGGTACCTTAGAACGGGGTACCCCAAGCAAACATCAAAATAAAGCTAGAAGGTAAGCCGTGGGCCCCTCACCGCCACGACCGAGCCCTCCTCCCACCTCGCCTCGAGCCTCGGCGGCAGAGGTCTCGGAACAAACTCCGCCTCCATGAGGCTCCCCAAGGTAGGCCTCGGCGGGGCGCCGAGCCTCGGCAGGGGGCGCCATCTCCGTCTCGCCCGAGGCTCTCCAGGGAAGGCCTCGGTAGGGGTATATTCTCCGTATCGCGCGAGGCGTCTCGCGCAAGGCCTCGGCAAGGAACCTGATCTCCGTCTCGCACGAGGCCTCATTCTCCGTGTCGCTTGAGGCCGAGTCGCCCGCAGCCCGTCACCCCCCGCCTCGACCGACCCTCCAGACAACGTGTCATGTCCCATTAATGCTTCAACCACTCCCGCAATCTCAAATGACGACGGCTCAACGCCCTGAGAATGGCCGGCGCGACCCAAAGTCGCATCAGCATATCATACCGGCCCGGGGACAGGTGCGGCGGGGATTACCGCCATCGTGTCCTAACAACTCAGATTCATCCACGATCTGCGCCATACCGGCCGGGGGCAGGTGCGGCGGGAATTACCGACCACTGTGTCCTAACACTGTACCCACGATCAGCCGCCCACTTGAGGCCTCGGCACCGTACACCAAGGTCTCGGCCATCTTGGGGATCGTGCCTGCCGAGACCCCTCCACCATGGTGCAGCCTCGACACCGACCAAGTCTCGGCCTCACGCGCAGTCCATCTACAGTGGCTTGCACGTCCCGGGGCTCCCACGACGCACAGGATCTGATAGGACGGCCATGTCGCCCCAGTGCTCCAAGGACGGACCACTCCGACGGCCACACCGCCACAGGAACTGGCTACAGGGCTCGGACACGCCGCCTCTGTTCACACGACGCCGTATAGTTAGCTCATGTACCGCCCTAGTCCTCCTTTCATGCTATAAAAGGAGAGGACCTGGGCTGTTTTAAGGGGCCGGGAAAAAAACTTGTAACACACACACACATACACACACATCCCTGCCGCCTGAGAGCAACGTCTCAAGCGGCCCGTACGACACCCTGCCGAGACCTGGGACCAGCTCTCTCTCTCCTTCAGCTGGTAACCCCCTACTACGAGCACCTCGGTGCAAGGAATACAAGATCGATCTCTCAGACTGGACGTAGGGCCTCGATTGCCTGAACCAGTATAAACCTTGTGTCTCTTTGCATCACCATCCGGATCGGGAGCACGCAGAACAAATTCACTGGTTGGGTGAGGACCCCCCGGTCCGAAACACCGACACCTTGTGTCTCTTTGCATCACCATCCGGGATTAGGGGCACGCAGTTCACATTTACTAGTTGGTTGAGGACCCCCCGGTCCAAAACACCGACAATTACCATGTGTAAGGATTATGGACAAGTTTCATCAACCCAAATTGGTAGTATTAGCTCCCCTTACATATGTGCTAAGAGTTTGGATTTGAAAGCTTACACATATGCATGGATTAGATGTTTAGGAGAGTAATAGCTACCAAATGATGCTAAGGTGTAAAGAATGGACTTTTGAAGCGTGATACCAATCGGAGTTGCCAATATACGCCATCCTTAGCACCATTAGTAACTAGACATTCAAAAAAACTAGACAAACCCCGTGAGATAAATATTATATTAAAGGGTCTAGTTTTTACATGATAAACACAAGTCTAGTTACTCTTCCTATGCATGCTAGTGCTTTATTCATCATTCAAGTTACTACTAGCATACACCACACAAGCATGGATATAGAATTTAAAAAAACTTGTGTCATGCAAGCAAATATATGTAAATGCACATACAAATGCAACATACAAGTTTATGAGCTTGCTTCCCCTACTTTTGCTTCAAATTTTAATTGATCCCCTTACAATGTCATTTCATTTGTTTGCTTCCCCTATTTGTACTATCTTTATGAATTCTCTCCCCCTTTGTCAACAATTAGCACAAAAGGTGAGCTCAAATTTTAGATAGGTTAGGGTAAATCCATGTCAAGTGATGATCATTTTCCAATTTGGTTCAATCTCGATCACTTGCAAAAGATATTTAACTCGGTTTGATCTAAGGGCAAGTTTCTTCACACCTCCAAATAAGGGTTATCATACATCATGTTGAGTTAAACATTTATAGCTCATTTTCTAGATCAAACACTAAGTTTACAAGTCCACAAACATGTCATATGCTACCACTAGATCATTTCAAGCATACAAGCAATAGTGGTACCATACAAGCATCGAATTCATTTGATTTTCATGAATGAGCCTAGAACATGATAGGAATGACTAGATGCACTAAACAAGTTCTTAGCATTTGATGAATGACATGTCAATCAACTTTATTTTGCTTGGCTCGAATGAGAGGCATGTCATATAATGGAGGTGCATCAACATATATTTGAGAAGTCAAGTATGTTCAATTTATTCTTTAATTTGCAAAACCTCTTCTCATCAAGTGGCTTGGTGAAGATATCGACAAGTTGATCATCGGTGCCCACACTCTCAATACAAATGTCCTCTTTTTGTTGATGATCTCTTATGAAATGATGGCGGACATCTATATGCTTTGTTCTTGAATATTGAACCGGGTTGTTGGTGAGCTTCACGGCACTCTCATTATCATATAGCAATGGCACTTGTTTGAACTTGATTCCAAAGTCACTCAAAGTAGCCTTCATCCAAAGTAATTGAGCACAACAACTACCGGCCGAAATGTACTCCGCTTCGGCGGTTGAAAGTGCTACACTATTTTACTTCTTTGATGACCAAGACACAAGTGAACTTTCCAATAGTTGACATGTGTCCAAAGTGCTCTTTCTCTTAACTTTGCATCCTGCATAATCAGAGTCTGAATATCCAATCAATTTAAATCATGCTCCTTTGGGATACCACAATCCAATATTTTATGTATGCTTCAAGTACCTCAATATTCTCTTGATTGCCTTCAAATGACTTTCTCTTGGTGAGGCTTAAAATCCAGCACACATGCATACACTAAACATCACATCCGGTCTTGATGCGGTCACATAGAGTAGGCTTCCAATCATAGACCGATACATCTTTTGATCCACTATATTGCCACTAGCATCACTATCCAAGCTTCCATTTGTCCCCATTGGTATACTAATAACTTTGCTCTTATCCATGCCAAACTTCTTGAGCATGTCTTTGATGTACTTGCCTTGAATCATAAATGTGTCATTCTTCATTTGCTTGATTTGGAGACCAAGGAAGTAACTAAACTCTTCAATCATGGACATCTCAAACTCACTTGCCATTATCTTTCCAAACTCCTCACAAAAATCTTGATTGGTTGATTTAAATATGATGTCATCAACATAGATTTGCAACACAAACAAGTCATTGCCTAGCTTCTTGGTGAAGAGAGTGGTGTCAACCTTTCCCATCTTAAATCCCTTAGAGAGTAGAAAATCTCTCAATCTTTCATACCATGCTCTTAGTGCTTGTTTTAATCCATACAAAGCCTTTTTCAACTTGTAGACATGGTTGGGCTTCTTCTCATCTTCAAAACCGAGAGGTTGCTCAACATACACAAGCTCATTAATGTACCCATTTAGAAATGCACTCTTCATATCCATTTGGTACAACTTAATGTTATGAGCACAAGTATAGGCTAACAAGATCCTAATTGCTTCCAATCTTGCAACCGAGATATATGTTTCTTCAAAGTCAAGACCTTCAACTTGAGTGTAACATTGAACCACTAATCTTGCTTTATTTCTTACAACTATCCCATCTTGATCTTGCTTGTTTCGAAAGACCCATTTAGTTTCAATCACCCAGAGAACTTTATGAACTGATTTATTCAGTGACGCTGGGCTATTTTGTATTTCAATGCTGTGGACAGTTATTTTCCCTGAATATATGAATATTTTCATGCTTAGACTGCAAACATAGCTAGGCATATACAATTTTCTCAGCATATAAAAGAGTACAGGTATAACACAACGGTGCAATGTTAACTGGTTTCGAGGCAATATCCTTTTACATGTACATCAGGTTCACTAGACTGATCCATGCTCGATAACTTTTGGTAAGGCTCAACTGCATACAAATTACAACATCACCAGTACATCATTCTGTGCGACACAAAGTCAGCCGGATTACATAAATAACACCAACTACATAAATAACACCAATACATCATGGATGATTTGAACCTAATAAATTGCTTGTCACACACTCGTCGTCGGAGCCAGCTGAACCGCCGCTGCTGCTAGTGTTGCTAGAGGATCCAGAAGAACTGCTAGAACTGATGTTGCTTGAGCTTTTTGTGGTCTCAGCAAACTTGTCGGTTGCAATAGGGTCGGCGTCGCTGCATATGTCGACCTCCTCCGCCTATCTCTCCGTCTTCGAGTATTCGTGGAAGTGAGCAAAGGCCCTCGGTTGGCATTGCTATGGGAGAGGCGTCGCTCTTGGGAATGGGAAGAACGGTAGGAGCCGGATTGCTTGTCACACACTCGTCGTCAGAGTCGCTGCTCTCGGAATCTGATGAATGGCTGCAAGAAGATCCAGATGAACCGCCGCTGCTGCTGGAGGATCCAGATGAACTGCTAGAGCTGCTGTTGCTTCTTGGGCTTTTTGCGATTTCAGTAGACTTCTCAATTGCAATAGGGCCGGCGTCGCCGCATATCGGCATATGATGATCCTCTGTTATCTCTCCTTCTTCGAGTATCCGTGGCGATGAACAAAGGCCCTTACCTGCTGCTACGGGAGAGGCATAGCCGCCGCATGTATCCGTGATGGCACCGCAATCCTCCTCCTCGATCAACTCGCCATCCTCTAGCTTCTAGTTCACGCGGCGCCTCCTCGATCAACTCGCCATCCTCTAGTTCACGCGGCGATGAGCGACTAATGGACCTGGACACGTTCATCGACTCCTGTTGTTGACGCTTCTCTTCTTCAGCAAACTCGTCCAGCAACTTCTGCAGCGCGAACATGGCGGAGCGCCTCATGGATCCCAGATCGATCTCTATCTCGTTCTTGCCGGCCTTTTCTTCTGCGTGACCGGTGCACTCCTTGTCCAGAAACTCGACGATGTGCGTCGGCATGTTCGACGAGAGCGACGACAGTCGGGTAACCAAGCTGAGGATCTCAGCCTTCGAGATCAGGGTGTCGATGATCTCCACGGGTGGCATCGTTCTCCTTTTCTTGGCACATGGAGCCTGATCGACCTTCGATATGCGGGGGTGCTCGATGTTCTCCACGAGTGGCATCGCCTTCCTTCTTGTGGCACATGGAGTCCGATCGATCTGCATCATCCGGGGCTTGATGATCTCCACGTCCACGGGTGGCATCTTCTTCCTTTTCTTGTCACAAGGAATCCGGTTGGCCTCGATGGTCTCTGATCCGGCTTCTGCGGCCAAGAAACGCCCGTCCTTGCCGCAGCGAGGTGCCGCGCGACCTTTGTCGACAGTCTTGCGCACCACGAGCTCGGCCTTCCTGAAGATGCCGCGGAGCGCCTCCATCTCCTCGCCGAGCCTCTTCCTCAGCACCAGGCGCGGATCAGCAGGAGCGGAGACCTCGGCCGGAACCAAGTCCATCGTCTTCGAGCGGAGTCCGTCGCGCGATACTTGGCGGTGGCCAGGCATCTTCTCGGCGGCAGTCGCGGTCGCCTGCGTCGTCTCGCTCGCGCTACGTGAGAATGGCGGCAGCTGGCGTCGCGCGGCTCGCATGGGATGGAGGATGGAGGTGGCTGGCCTGACGTACGTGGATTGGACTCGCACCTCCTCCGGATCGGCCTTACAAAGAGAGCGGAACCTTGAATCCTTGATTGTATCCGACTCCGAGTCCCAGGGGCGGATTCAGTAAAGATACAATTTCTGGTATCAACCGATTTTGGGGCCGTCTGTTGCGTCCGCCCGACGGCTGTGGCCGTCCGTTGGTCCTCCCCGACAGCATCTCCCCTCCCTCCGGCAGATCCTCCCCGCGCGCTCCCTCCCAGTGGATCTCCCTCCCCGGTGGCCCTGCTCCGCCGCACACAGGCTGCCGCAGCCCCAGGCCGCCGCAACCAGGCTGCCGCCGCCGCCCCGGCTCGGGCGCGGGCGTCCCCGGCGGGTGTCCCTGGCGTGGGCGCTGCCGTCCCCGGCCCGGACGCCGCCGTCCCCGATGTGCCGCCGTCCTCTGCTTCCTCTCTCTCTTTCTGTTCTGTGTTTTCCGCAATTCCATGCTCGAAGCTCTATTCTCTGTTCTTCTCCCCTATTTGTTCTTCTTCTATTTGTAAATTTATAAATTTGTGAATAATTTTACGATATTTGTGAATAATTTAATATATATTTCTCAGTTATCTGAAATCCATAGAAAAAAAAATTATAGTTGTTTTTGGAAATGTGGTATATATTTGTCTAAGATATTGTGTTATCTTCAAATTACACCACCCTGTTAAATAAATTACACTAAAAATATTATTATAAATATAGCAAGATGACAGTGTAATTATAGCAAGATGATAGTGTAAATATATGAGAAAAATTCAGTTGACAAGAGGACTCAAAACAACTGAATGTGCCTTAGACATGTCCTTTCTTAAAACTAGCTTAACTAGTCTGTGTGTTTCAGCATCTTGCTGGCAGAAGCGCAAAAGGCTAAAATAAAGGGCCTGATATAGATTGCAAATTTTTGCAATCTAAACATTGTAGCACGTTTCGTTTGTATTTGACAAACTTTGTTCGATCATAGACTAACTAGGCTCAAAAGATTCGTCTCGTGATTTACAACCAAACCGTGTAATTAGTTATTTTTTTTACCTACATTTAATGCTTCATGCATCGTCCAAAAATTGATGTGATGGAGAGAGAGTGAAAAAACTTGAAATTTTAAAGCAATCTAAACAAGGCCCAAGTCCAACAGGTTACAAATTTGCAAGTTGGAGGACGGTAAGATACATTTCGAAACTTCAATGAATTTTAAGCAAACAAATTACACGAGCCCTCTGGCTCAAACACCGCCACATATGGAACGGTGAAATTATCCCATCTCACTTGCGTAGTTGAACGCTTTGCACGGGCGCGCGCTCAGAGTCGCTCACTTGCGTAGGAAGCTCAGGACGCGCTCCTCCATCTCCCGCGCCCTGTCGCAGAGCGGGTTCATGCAGTAGAAGATGTGGCCCTCGCCCTTGGACTCGAGCAACTCCACCTCGCCGGGGTAGCCGCTGGCCTTGAGGCTCTCGTAGTACCAGACGCCCCTGTCTCTGAGGTTATCCTTCTCGGCCACGCAGACGAGCACGCGCTCGGCGGCGACGCGCGCCGCGCTCCCGCCGGCGGCCTCCGAGAACGGGTTGGAGAGCGGGTCGTCGAGCCCCGGGGAGCCGGGGTACAGGAACCGCCAGAACGCGTCGGCTTGCGCCTTGCGCTGCTTCCCCGTCGTCCCCTCGTCGCCGATGTCCGCCGCGCCGCTGAAGTAGGGGTGCACTATCAGCAGCCCAATGACGCGCATCCCGAGGATGTCGCCCTGGCCCTGCTGCTCGCCGGCACGGACAGCGACGTAGTGCGCGATGGTGCCCCCCGCGCTGGCCCCGGCCAGGAACACGCGGGAGAAATCGCCGTGCTCGGTCAGCCACGGCTCCACCGGTCCTCCGCCGACCGCGGCGGCGGCGGCGGCGGCGGCGGCGGCGTGGGTGGCCACCCACTTGAGCCCCTCCCACGAGTCCTCGTAGGAGGCCGGGAGCGGGTGCTCCGGCGCGAGGCGGTACTCGAGCGCGACCGCGAGGACGCCGGCCTTGGCGACGAGCGCGTTGAGGTAGGTGTGCGTCCACGGGTCGGCCGCCGAGCCGATCACGTAGGCACCGCCGTGGTAGTAGACGACGACGGGGAGCTGCTGCTTCTTGCCGTGGCTGCCGGGCGGGAGGAAGAGGCGCGCCCAGAGGCCCGTGGCCGGGTCGACGACGACGTCCTTGGACACGACGCCCATGGCCGGGTCGGTGCCGGCCGGGAGCGGGGCCGGGTTAAAGAACCGCTCGACGCGGCCGCTCTTGTACTGGCGGACCAGCGGCGGGAACTCCGCCTGCACCTCCGTGTCCGGGTCCGCCGCCGCCATGCTGTCGCGCTCGTCGTTGTTAGCTTCGGTGCGTCGTCGTGCGTGGCTTGCTCGGACACGGGCGCTAGTGCTATGTAGTACGGGAGGAATCCCCGACGGGTGGAACGGCGCACGGAGGAGGGCGGACCAAACGGTTGGTGTAGTGGTGCGACGCGCAAGCGCAATGAGAGCGGCGATGCGATTGCTGTAAGCCTGTAAAAATCTTTGGGTTGGTGCGGAAAAGTGCAGTCCTGACGACGACTAGACACTGACCGCTGATCGAGACTTCTACCGGACCCAGCTGCCAGCTTTCAGCGATCGTGGAAGACCGTCCCAGACTCCCAGTCGCTTGGTGGGTGAGGGAACAGTGTGCTATGTGGTGGGTGGCCCACCAAGCTTCTAGAAGACCATGAGCAGGTAGAGTCAAGTGAACAGTGACGCCTGGCTGACGTCGCAATCCCCAACCGCGAGGCTTCAGAGTTCAGATGCCTGATGCCACAGCATCCGGCATCGTGCGTGCATACAGTGGCGGACCAAGACTAGCACCTTTGTGGCTCTATCTACAAGTAAAAACTACCCTATTCGCATGCAAAAGAAAGAGGTAAAAACTACCATTATAGATCTATCCTATCTAGTAAAGATCCATTAATATTAGTATAGAAATAAATAAGATGAAGATAAAATTTCTAATTGATCTGATGATTTTTTAACTAAAATTGCTAAGAAGAATCTATAGATCCATGTTTGACAGGGGCGGAGCCACCCTAGGGCATGGTGGGGCGCCTGCCCTAGCTACCGGTGTGGTAGCACCAAAGCCCCTTCTTCCTCGCGCTCCTGCTACCGTGTGTTAAGCCAAGGAGCGACCGAGAGGAGATAGAAGGGGCCTCACTTTCGTTAGCCCAACAGGCAACATCGACCCATTTAGTGGGCAGTGGACTCATCAAAGACACACATGGAGCACACTACCCGCCAGGCTGGACCAGTCGACCTCACGGTGGATGTTGGCCCTCCCAGTTCACCACCGGTGGATACCCACCAGACTATGGACAACGACGGCTCAGCCAAACGCCGCCTCGACAGCTTCATCAACAAAGTGACGCGTAAGAGGGACTCCGCTGATTCGTGAGCCTTCCAAGCAGCCTCCTGCTAAGCCGGTGCTGCCGTGCCAATCTATACATTCTATCAAACACAATCTCTATAGAGCCGGGTCCATTTGGTACATGCAACCAAACAAGTGGCCTTGCACCACTTCGGACAAGCTCTGGCTAGCCTAGGACAGGCCCGTGGGCCGAGCTGGCCTCAACCGTGATACCAAACATGGCCCAAAAATATGCTAGAGCATGGCCTAGCCACTGCCACACGGCCACCGCCGGCGATGAACTCGGCCACCTTGTCTGTCTCCCGCTCAGCCTTCTCGCTCCTCGGGTTGCCCAAGAAGTGCATGCGCGCCACCCCCTCTGTCACGTACGTCTCCACTTCCCCTCGCCAGCCGTTCCGCCTCAACCCCTCTACGTACGCCACCGCCCGGTCCCAGAAGTTGTCGCGCCCCGCGATGGTCACCAGCACGCGCTCCCCGGCCATCCCGCGCCAGGCGCCAAGCGCCGCCAGCGGGTTCACGTGTGGGTCATCGATGCCGTACCTGCCGCCACACACGAGCGCCCACGTCTGCTCAAGGCCGTTGCGCACCCATTGCTCCGCGGGTTCGGTACCCACCGGATCCTTGCCCCAGAAGTACGGGGTCAGGAGGACGACATCGACGATGCCCGCGCCGCCGGGCAGCGGGGGCTCCGGTCCGGCTCGCACCGCCAGGCGCCAGGTTGTGGGTGATATTTCCGCCGGCGCTGTCGCCGGCCAGGAAGATGTGCATGGCATCTCCGTGGTCAGCGAGCAAGGCTTTCGGCCTCGATATGCAGTTGGATGCCATCCACCAGAGCGCCGCCCACGCGTCGTGGTACGCGGCCGGGAGCGGGTGCTCCGGCGCGAGGTGGTAGTCCACGGACACGGCCACGATGCCCGCCTTGGCGACGAGGATGTTGAGAAAGGCGTGGTAGGGCGGCGAGAATGGTGACTCGATCACGAACGCACCACCGTGGAAGTAGAGCAGCACGGGCAGCTTCTTGTTCTTCTTCTTCTTGCCACGTCGGCCCATGCGATGGTTCTTCGGCAGCAGGTAGAGCCGCACGCCGACGCCATTGGCGCCGGCGACGTCCGTGGACGCGACGCCCGTGAGCGCGTCAACGCCGGGCGGGACGGTTTCCGTGCCGTGGAAGCGGTGGACGCGCTCGCTCTTGTACACGAACACGTACGGGCGGAAGTCAAACACGATGGTGTCAGCGTCGCCATTCGTGCTGCTGCCGGCAGTAGATGCCGTTGTCGTGATGTCTGAGTCTGGCTCGGCGGCGGCGGACGCTGGCGGCGCATTGGTCACGACCTTGGATTCACCATCTTCTGTTGCAACAGTAGCGAAGGCAGACGCCTACTGCACCTTACTATTTGTCGTGACATTGGCATCGCCGGAGGCCAGGGGCGCGTCCGTCAGGACATTGCCCTCAGCACCTTCAGTTGCGACGGCAGTGATGTCAGACACCTGAGCCGCCGCGACCGTCGTGACACTGGCAGTTTTAGTGGCGCGGTCCACGAACACCCGTAGCCTGCCGGGCGTGATCTCCTAGCGGACAGCCACGTCGAGGAGCGGCTGCCTGGTGGACTGGTAGAGGAGGGAGGCGAAGAAGAGGAAGGGGAGCACGAGATGGACCAAGCACCTGACGTAGGAACGCATCCTCATCGCCATTCCCACTGCTGCGCCACCGTGTCCTTCGTCTTCCCCCAATCGCAGCTGTAGTTCAGCTATTGGCGTTCGGGATTGCTGCAGCGCGGTCGGTAGAATGGTTCGACGACCGGATAAGGCTTGGGCACGGATGCCGCCGGCTGCAAGTCTGCGACGGGGAGGAGAGGGTGAGGCGACGGCACCGCGAGACTGTTGTGTTGGGTGCGGCATGGACCTGGCGCACTACCGGTGGGTGCAGGCATGAGACAAAGATCACGGTGAGTGGCACCCGGCATGCGGTGACGCGGCCGAAAAAGGTTGTGCCGTGCCACGAAAAAGGGGCCCGACGCTCGAGCGGAGGGATCGGCGTGGGACGCTACCATTTGCTGCAGAATTTTGGCTGCCCAGCGAGGCAGTGTGGGTGGAGAGGGAGAGCCACGAGCTGGGAGATTGGGAGCCCATTGTTCACACGATCACACCCCACCCGTACATCGCGTAATGCCGTGGTGGAGGATAGGATAGGAGGAGCGGCAAGCGGCAAGTGCGCAAGGCCTTGGGCGGTTAGGCCTGTCAAATTAAGGTCCCGTTTAGCACGGCTCTACTTCACCAGCGAAACTGTTTTTTTAGTTCAGCTCCATAAATAACTTTATCGGTGGAGCTAGAGCTGTTTTAGTAAATCGTTTGACAAAACAACTATACATATAGAGTTTCTTAAAATATGCTCTCACAGAACGCCATGTAGGATGAGGTGAAGCCGGAGAAGCTACTATTTTTTGCTCCTTTCCACCCCAAAGCTTTGTAAGAGCACATTTTTAAGGGCTTCATCGGTGGTGTCGGGTGTCGATATTAGGGATACCCAAAGCAAGAAAGTCAGCGCTTCCTCGGATGGCTCTAGACATATTAAAAGATCTCGTACGACTCTAAGGCCGCGGGCTCCATCTCGCATAAACCTCAAGGCCGCGGGCTCCGTCTCGCCCGACCCCAAGGACGCGGCTCCGTCTCGCCTAACCTGGGGATTCACATCAAGAACAGTGTCGGACGTGCCGGTGCTGTTCTGCCTATCTTCGTACGGACGCTGACAGACGTGTCAGTTCACCACAACGTCCGCCAGAACAGAGTGGAACGCCATGACCGGCAGATGACGCTTGCGCATGGCGCCAGTGATGAACAGGGCTGCGACATGGAGCCGTCCCTGTTGACATCTACAGGATCAGCGGGACCCGCATGTAGGAGAAGAAGGACCCCGCAACCTTAGAAGTCTTCTTCTTCTCTCTTGTTCTTCTCCTTTTTCCTCCTCTGTAACCCGCGATTTCCCTTCGCCTATAAAAGAGAAAGCAGGGCGCCCCACGCTGGGAGATCGGAACACAAGAGCACGACACGAGCACACGGCTGAGCGGCAAGCGAGCTCTCAGCACTCGTTCACTCCTTTCACCAGAGACTTGGGATCCTCTCCCTCTCTCGCCTGTCTGTAACTCCTATTGCAAACCAAGTGCCGGTAACATGAGCAACAACGAACTGGACGTAGAGACGTTCTGCCCGAACCAGTATAAACCCTTGTGTCCTCCAAGCACATCATCCGAGCTAGACGCACAAATACAAATTTACTCGTCGGTGGTCAAAAACACCGACAGGTGGAACCATTTCATTTCACCCTGACAGAAAACGGCTCCGATCGCCTCTAAAGCCGCTGGAGAAGGCCTGGCCTAGAGCTCCACGGAAGGACCAGTCCTCTCCTTTCGTACAAGTGACCTCTTATTAGGACACTGTTTGTTACTCACTTTGTCTGAAAATCACAAATGCGTATATTTTGTTTCGACAGAAGAAGGTTTTAATTATCAAGTCATGTCCTATCCTAATAATCAAAACAAATATGCCCGTAATTTGAACACGTCTCTTATGCTATGCAGGTACCTAATATCAAGGTCGATTTCGGGCTCTCTGCTCTCCAAAAATTCGGGGTTCAGACTGGCTGTGCTCTGTGGTCTTACAAAGGATCTTGGGAAGGCAGCCGGTTAGGTGGAGACAGGCACAGAAAGACGGCGGTTGGATTAAAGTGGTCAGGAGGCCCACTAACAGCCTGACAAAACCAGGTTAGGGCTTGCAAAGTGTGGCTTCATGAGGAGAGAGAAAGCTAAGAGTTCAGGCAAGGGCGAATGTGAACTTAAGAGGAACTCCGATCAAGCCTTCAAATTTTTCCTCCTATTCCTTCAAATAAAAGTCTCTCATCCATATTTCATCTCCTACTTTTCAACGTAATCTAACCATGTTCACCTGTCACGCTTGTTAGCTTTATAAAAAGAGAAAAAGAGGGATAAGGGGAAGGATGGGGTGCTCCTAACAGGGGTTCAGGATAAAAATGAGAGTCCCTCGTTCATCGAGGGCTGAATAGAAACTCGATTAGAGTGGGATAAGGGCTCAAATAGTGTTTCGGTTGGAGTTGCTCTAAGTGAGACAAATGTTAAAAACAGTCAAGGTATATGTCGCCTAAAAAAACAGGACATGCACCATAACTTGGACGTATTTGGATCAAGAGCTGATTGTTAGCTAGGTAAAAATTAGTTAAAAAGCTCTAATGCATCCAAACATAAGAACTAAAACATGGAGTAATTTTTTAAACAAGTTTTAACTAGTTGTTAGCTAACTAACTAGCTAATCATAGCTAATTTTAATTAATTTTTAGCTTAACTAACTAGCCATGTGTATCAATCGTGCCCTTATATATTCCCTAGTTGTCAAAAGGGCCAGGTGCTCTGTTTTCAAAGGACGTTCGTGCTCTGTTTCAACGGACGTCACTCAGGCCACCGCTTAAAAATCCAAGACAGATAATGTTATTCAAAGTCTGGGTTAGGTGTACCATCAAGCCCGAGAAATGAAAGCCACCACACCATCCATCAACTTCTCAGCGACCACCCTCCCGGGCTGGTCAAGGTAGAACACGTGCTGCTCGCCCGGAGTGTCCACCAGCTCGGCGTCGCCTGGCCAGCCGCTGTCCAGCAGCGCTGTGTAGTAGGCTCGCCCCTTGGGCGCCAGGAAGTCCTCCCCCGCCACGGCAACCAGCACGCGCTGCGTCGGCAGCAGCGCGAGTGGCGGCGCCCGGGCCGACGTCGGCGACAGCCATGGGTCGTCCACCCGGGCGTCAGGGCGCCCCGTCATGAGCTGCCACTCGCGGCGGATGCGCTCCTCCAGCTCGGGCCCCATGGCGTCGGACGCGTCCCAGAAGTACGGGTGCATCAGAAGCACGCCCCTGATCCTGATCGCCGGGAGCCCCTCGGCGGCGGCGGCGGCGCGCATGGCGACGTTGTGGGCGATGTTCGCGCCCGCGCTGTCCCCGGCCAGGAACACACGGGAGGGGTCCCCGTGCTCGGCCAGCCACGGCTCCGGTTCGGACCCCGTGCCGCCGCAGGCGGCGCCGACGGCCCACGTGAGCGCCGCCCACGAGTCGTCGTAGGCCGCCGGGAGCCGGTGCTCCGGCACGCGGCGGTAGTCCACGGACACCGCGATGGCGCTGGCGCTGGCGCGGGCCACGAGTGCGTTGAGGTAGCGGTGGTACTTGGCGGAGCCGGCCGATTCGACCATGAACCCGCCGCCGTGGAAGTACACGACGATGGGCAACTTCTCGCCGGCGGCGCCAGCCGTCGTGGGAAGGTACAGGCGCACGGAGAGGTTGGTGGCGGGGTCGACGGTGACGTCCTTGGAGGCTACGCCGCCGGTGGAAGTCCCGTCGTCGAGGGAGGCGGGGACCGTGTCGTTGCCGATCAGGCGCTCGACGCGGCCGCTCTTGTAGAGGCGGATGAACGGCAGGAGCTCGACGGCGACATCTTCGGCAGCGGCGTCGCGGGAGGCCATCCGGTTACTGTCTCTAAGCGGAGCGGACACGGACTCGGTGAACGTCTGAGTGGGATGGATTTCGACTTCGACACGCTCTCGCTGAGAAAGTGAGAAAGAAATTGTTTGAGCGACGGAGCGACGGGCGTACGGCACCGCTCGCGCAATCGCATGAAAGTCGCGGGGAAAGTCGCGCGCACGAGGCTTGTCCTCTGGCCCCACCACGCAAGATGCCACCAAGCACGCCTCATCAAGAGTCAAGCCGGCGAGCCGAGTACGCTGTTCCCCAATCAAGCCGGCTCGATCCAAAATCAGATGAACCCGCCGCCCTTAAAAGGACATATCTATGACATTATTTGTTTTGTCCTCCTCTCAAACGAATTTTTTTCATACACTTATACTGTCATCTTGTTATATCTATATTATCTTATTACTATATTTACAATGATAATTTTAGTATAATTTATTAGACAGGTTGGTGTAATGAGAATAACACAATATCCTAGACAAATATATATCAAATTTAAAAAAAAAACTATAATTTTTTTCTATGGAATCCAGATGTCAGAAAAATATATATCAAATTATTCATAAATATTATAAAATTATTCACAAATTTATAATTTACAAATAGAAGAAGAACAAATAGGAGAGAAGAACAGAGAACAGAAAGAGAGAGAGGAAGCAGAGGACGGCGGCGTCCGGGCCGGGGACGGCAGCGCCCGCGCCGGGGACGCCAGCCGGGGACACCGAGGCCCACTCTAGGGACGCCCGTGCCCGTGCCCGCGCCCGAGCCGGGGCGGCAGCGGCAGCCTGGGTGTGGCGGCCTGGGGCTGTGGCAGCCTGTGTGCGGCGGAGCAGCAGGCCGGCGACGGAGCAGGGCCACCGGGGAGGGAGATCCACCGGGAGGGACTGCGCGGGGAGGATCTGCCGGAGGGAGGGGGGATGCTGTCGGGGAGGACCATCGGACGGCCACAGCCGTCGAGCGGACGCAACAGACAGCCCCAGAGGGAGATCCACTGGGAGGGAGTGCGCGGGGAGGATCTGCAGGGAGGGGAGATGCTGTCGGGAGGACCATCGGACGGCCACAGCCGTCGGGCGAACGCAACAGACAGCCTCAAAATCAGTTGATACGATCTCCAGAATCAATCGGTTGACGTATAGCATTTCTGTTTAAGAAAACAAACTAAAAACACACTAAAAGTAGGATGCCAGCTTTAAACAAAAAACCAAAAGCTACGCACGACTCAAACGCCCCAAATATAACGCAAAATAATTGTCCACCGACAAAACACGGAAGGATACAATTCGAGCATCCGACAGAGCCTGTTCGTTGGTTTTAACCAATCCAAACCAACCAACCAACAGTATTTTCCTCTCACAAAAAATCAACACTAATCAGTCTAAACCAGCACCAAACACCAGCCAGCGAACATGCCAACGAATATATTGTTTCGGCAATCGAACAACTAATCAGCGCATTACAATTGAAGTATCGAAATGATATAATAGCATAGAGAAAACTTTTATTCATCGTCTCGCTGTTCATTTCTTGATGAAAGCCACGGTCCGCTCCTGGAGTTCAACGCCCTGCTCCGAGTCCAGCATGTCGAAGTGGAACGCGTGGCCGACGCCCTTAGACTCGAATAGCTCGACCTCGCCGGCGTACCCGCTGGCCTTGATCTCCCGGTGGTGCCACAGCGCGCGCTCCTTGAGCAGGAAGTCGTTCTCGGCCACGCACACCAGCACGCGCTCGCACGGGATCCCGGCGGAGGCCTTGCGCGCCGCGTCGTCCACGAACGGGTTCACGCGCGGGTCGTCCAGCCCCACCGTCTCCGAGACCACGAACCGCCAGGTCCGGTCCATGAACGGCCGGATCTCGGGGCCGAACGCCATCTCGCCGCCCACGGCCTCGCTGCCCGTGAAGTACGGGTGCACCAGGGCGAGCCCGCGGATGGTCACGCCATCGGGGAGCGCGCCGGGGGCGGAGGCCCGCACGGCCGTGTTGTGCGCGATGTTGGCGCCAGCGCTGCAGCCCGCCAGGAAGACGCGGGACAGGTCGGCGTGCTCCAGCAGCCACGGGTCCTCGCCGTCGCCGAGCGTCACCGCCCACCGCAGCGCAGCCCACGCGTCGTCGTACGCGGCGGGCAGCTTGTGCTCCGGCGCGAGGCGGTAGTAGCCGGACACGCCGATGGCGCCCGACCGGGCGACGAGGTCGTTGAGGTAGTTGTGCGTGCCCGGCCGCGCCGGCGAGCCGACCACGAAGCCGCCGCCGTGGAAGTAGATGATCACCGGGATCTTGCCGGTGGCGCCGGGAGGGAGGTAGACGCGCGCGGAGGCGGGGCCGGCGCGGATGTCCTTGGAGACGACACCGGTGGCGGGGTCCGTGCCGGTGGGGACGGTGGGGGCGCCGCCGGGGCGGTGGATGCGGCCGCTCTTGTACTGGCAGAGGTAGGGCAGGAAGTCGAAGACGACCTCGGAGTCGGGATCCATGGCTGCGGTCGGCGAGGAGGGGTTGGTGGCGGTGGCGTCGCCCATTTTGGTTGGGGAAGGAAACGAATTGGCTACCTAGCAGTGCAACACAGCGAGGCGAACAAATTCAGTTGGAGGCTTCATGAAGATATACAAAGGCTGCAGGTGAGGGTTGGTGAGAGTTGACTTGTATACAACGGCACTTCGAAGGGGACCGAGCTGCAGCTCGGATGGTGAGCTCTCCGATGTGGAGGCCACGGGTCCTGAGTTCGACCCTGCTCGGGTAAGAGCAAGTATTATGGCTGGCTGCAAGCCGGCTGAATCTCTGCTGGCAGAGAGTGCGGAGCGGGCGTCTCGTAAAACGCGGGCTTTAGAGCGGGTGAATACGCGTTTGCTGTGTTTTTACTGGCTGCGTAGGCTCCGCATTAGGTGCAAGCTGTCGCTGCTGCATTTAATGAAAGCCAGGCTAGAGTTTATTTCGCCGGCAGCAGGCTGTATCATTGCATTTGCTCTAAGTGATTTCTTACTATGGGATTTATTCTTAATAAATAATTTTGTATCTCTCTTCTAGAGATGTGCGTGTGTATAGTGTAGATGCTACAGCTGAGTTGTAGTCTTAAAAAAAACAAGTTATAGGCCTTGTTTAGATTGTAAATTTTTACAATCTGGACACTGTAGCACGTTTCGTTTGTATTTAACAAACTTTGTCTGATCATGGACTAACTAGGCTTAAAAGATTTGTCTCGTGATTTACGACCAAACTATGTAATTAGTTATTTTTTTATCTATATTAAATGCTCCATGCATACGTCCAAAAATTAATGTAATAGAGAAAAAGTGAAAAAATTTAGAACTTTGAGCCAATCTAATCAAGGCCCTACTCTAAAAAAAAAACGGCACTTCAAAGCGATTTTTGTGTCCCATGTGGTGCAGAACTTTGTCCATTTCGAAAAGTGTTACCTTCCCATGTCGTTCAGAATCTTTTCCATTTCGAAAAAAGTAGCACGTTATGAATTTCCAAAATGCTACCGACAGCGATGCTTCATGCTACACAAGAAGTCCACAGGAATTTCGAATTTTCAAGAAAATATAAACTCCAGTAAAACTGCTCAGCGTCCCATAGTTAATTCCAAATAGAACGTAATTATGGGATTCCTATATAAGTTAAACAAGCTTAAATTTGACTAAATTTATAGTTAACAGTATTAACATTTATGTCTTCAATCAAATTTATTATAAAAACACATTCTGTAGTTAATTTAATTGTACTTATTTTGTATTATAAATATTAGTACTTTTTTATAATTTTGGGCAAAGTTTGAATTGTTTATTTTTAAAAAAAGTGAGAATTATATTCTTTTTTAGATAAAGGGAATATGCTTGCCACTGTAATACAACACCACAGTCATCAGCATAGCCGACATGTTTTTATATAGGGAAAATTAGTTGTGTAGCATTGAAAGATCGCGATCTCCGTAAAATACCCTCAAAAGTTTGTGTCCCCATAAAATACCACAGAAAGGTTGGACCATAAACTGAAAGTAGCATTCTGTTAAAATGAAGAAATATAATTGTTATCTCGGTCAAAAATACCACCCGATTAGTGATCGCGTGCGCGACGTTTGCCATGGCCTGGGCGTGGCCGGGCTGGAGCTCGCCCACGCGTCGTCGGTGCCGGTGTCGAAGCAGCAGCCGATCTGGTCCGCAGCGGGCATCGTGGTCCGCCTGAGGCTTCCTCGTGCGTGGACACTGGAGGAGGACGCGCGCCTGCTGCGCCTGGCCAAGGTGAACAGCACTGAGGCCACCGCGGCTCTCCCGAAGGAGATCAGCCACGTGCTAACCGAGCTCCGTGGCGAGCCCGCCGGTCGAAGGGTCTGCTGCCGCACTTGCTGAGGCCGTGGCCCTGGAGCTGGCACCCTCGGCGGCCACTGCCGCCGCCCAGCGCCTGCACCTGCGCCGCGCCGGCTTCTGGGGCAAGGTGTGCGTGGCAGTGCTCGCGACGCTCGCCACCATGGCCGCCGCCGACGTCGCGCTTGCCACGCCAACGAGTGGTACGGCCATGTAACACCCTCGGTGTTACACTGTACAGTCTTTTGCTAAAACACTGCATGAGCATCATACTTATGTGTAAATATGTGTAATATAGGGTGTAAAGCAATATACGTAACTCGAAACGTTCATCAGAAACGTGAAACGAATGTTATATTTGTTCTTAACGAATTTTTATTGAACGAGAATGCTATAGAATGCCTATATGAAACTTTAGTAAAGTTTATAGTACAAACTTCGTAGGTGACGATGAAATACTTGCTGTCGAGAACGGGAGTCACTAGCTAGCTTGGTTGGTAGCTTGGAAATCAAAGTTGACGCAAATCCGAGCGAGACTTAATCAATTTCTTAAGTTAGAAAACGGTGTGATGAGGCTACGTTTGGGAATTTTTATAGGAGAATCGGGTTAAGTAGTGGCATGGTCTTAGGCTTTGTTTTAGTAGCTTGATATACCATCTTGAGCGTAAAATAGTTGATTTAGCAATCGAAACATTGAGGTGGGTTTTTGGGACGCTTTAAAAGTGTGCAAGACACGTTCTCGAACGGTTGCAGCGTCTGGCTGCGGTCACCAGGCTTCGGTTCGGCTTGGGGCACAGCACTGGCCTGCCCCTGGCCTGCACACGCGCACCGTCGTTGCCGCACACTGGCACGTGACGCACGCACGTGCACGCCGCGCCCGACGGTCTGGCCGCTCGGCCACCACCGCCGCCGTCGTGGGCCCGCTGCTCTGGCCAACCCGCTGCCGCCGCTTCGCCGTGTCACGGTCTCCGCTGCGCTGCTGCTAGCCACGGCCGCAAGTGTGGAGTCACCTGGCCGCTCTGCCACCGCCGTCACGTCGCGCTGCGTCCCCGGTCACGCTGCGCTTCGACCGCCGCTGCCGCGCAGCCACTGTTGCTGCTGACCCTCATGACTGCACACGCGTGGGCTTGCCCCGCCTACCTTGCCATCACATCGGCGCTCAATGATTCTAAATCACAATCACTACATAAATTCATTTAGCATGTCATTCTCGCATAACTGAGTTGGTCTGTTTCGTTATCAATTGTGCAACATTTCTAGGAAAAGTTTAGGTATTGAGGCAAACACAATAATCTACTAATAAGCAGGGAAAGGACGGAGGATGTGCATACCATGGAGAAGTAGGTAGACAGTTCTGAACACAACATCGATAGTATATTTCAATTGCTGAGAATTTCAGAACAAATGCTCTCTCATGCAGGAAAAAGAGAAGGCGTGCTTATTAGGCAATATTTCTAAAAAAGTGTCCTATGAGAACATAGTTAATGCGCAACAAAAAAAATGACCAAGGAACCTAAGAATCGACGATTCCCTTATTGATGTAATAATATATGTTTGCTACTATATATTCTGTTACTCCAGCCATGGTGTCATGGTATGTCTTTTCAGTACTGACTAGAAAAGAATTATGCTTCATGGCGCCCTACCAGCAAGATTGTAAAACAATGATTAAATATCAGATTTATCTCATGCCAAAAGATATTCACAGATTATATAGAACTTATACGCATCTTGCTATGCCGAACAGGAATTTATCCAACAATCTGGGACACCATGAAGCAGACAAGTGTTAGGATCGATGTGAGTACCTTTCTGTGTGTAACCCATAGATCTGTAGTTAGGCTCCTCAACCTTACGGAGCTTCACCGCAGCGGCAGCGTGGACGCCGATACCGCCCTAGATGCAGCCTCGCGGACGCCAGTGCTCGGCGTGCCGATGAGGAGGCGAGGTGGCGATACAGTGGGGCGACGGCGGTGAACCTGCAGGCACGACTGTGGTGGTGGGGCACATCCCGTCGCTGGCAGCACGCTTTAGGATCGGATTAGGGTTTCTCTTTAGGTGGGATTGCGGCTCCAGTGAACCTCATAGTCCGAGCCCTCACCCCCACATTCCTTTTATGTGTGCCGTGCGACAGGGGCCCTCCAACCGAGTTAGGGTTGGGCTCCCCCGATCAGGGAGCAGAGATAGGGCCCAATAGGCCGTTGGGCCTATTGGTGGAGATCAACTAACATTCTCCCCCTTGATCTCATTCCATCTTTTACTTTCATATCATTTGCTTTTGCTCATTCCATTACAGATTAGCTCATAGAGCATGTCTCATCGTCACGGTCCATTGCCGATAGACTTAACAGCTACAACTCACTACTCTGTTCTGAAATAGATACTTATCTTTGGGCCTTCTTTTGTCCAGGAATATTTTAGGCTTTCCCTTAAACCCAAGCTAGCTACATGTTCTCTGAACACCATGTCCTCTGAACATGTTGGGTGGTAAGCCTTTTGTAAGCGGATCCGCGAACATCCTTTCTGTTCTTATATGCTCAAGACTTATGACTTGATCCCGGACTTAATCTTTCACAACATAATACTTTATGTCAATGTGTTTGGCAGCACCACTTGACTTATGTTGTGAGCATACTGTACTGCCAGATTATCATCGCAGTATTACTTTAAGTGGTCTATAGATGTCGTCAACCACCTTTAAACCGGGTATGAACTTCGTTAGTTAGTTCACCTGCCCGTTGCCTCATAACACGCTACAAACCGTCATACATTGTGGACGATGTAGTGACAGTTTGCTTTGAGCTTTTCCATGAAATAGCTCCCCTTTGCGAGATGATAGAAAATCCACGTCTGGATATGCATTCACTCTCGCATAATCAGAATCTGAATATCCCACCATGTGGAGTGAATCAGATCTTCTATATGTCATCATGAGGCATTTCGTTCCTTGCAAATAACGCAAGACTTTCTTTATCAATTTCAATGTTCTATTCCAGAGTTCCTCTGGAATCTGCCAAGTAAAACCCGGTAACAAATGTCAAGTCAGGGCGTGTTCATACTTGAGCATGTTGTAAGCTTCCGACAGCTGAAGCATATGGAACCACTTTCACTTTATCGATTGAGCTCATATTGGTTCCTGGGGCATTGAAAATCCCCACATCTGTCGCCCTTGACTATAGGAGCAGGTGAGGGACTACATTTGTGCATACTGAATTTCT